GTAATTTACAGGTTAAGAAACACTACCGCTCTTCTCTTTTCTAAAGCAAATCAAGTAAATCCTCAAGTATTAAAATATGCTTAGTAAGTAAGATATAGTTTACGGGTTCCGTGCCTTCAGATTTAATTCTCGATTAGGGATTTTAAATAGAATTCCTAACCTGCATTTTATCTGCAATGTGAGAATATTTTGAAAATTTTGATATGAAAAATTGGATAAATAGAACTGAAATATTTATTTACTCATTATTTCAAGTAAAAATATTCATCCATTTCCGTTTCCTACCCCACATGAGTGAAAAAGTAATGAATTTCGATAAATTTAAATTTACGCCGGAAATTAACTGAAATATTTGTTCGCTTAATGTTTGAGCATCTGTGTATTCGTCGCCTGTCGTAAAACTAACCCCCCTTTTTTTCGGACTTTGAATTCATTCAAAGATCCCTATCCTTAGAGATTCTTTGCCTAAGCTGAACGGGAAATCTCTCCTTTCCAAATGTGGTGCCTTAATTCTTTGCGTTTCCTGGACTAGAACGGCATTTCGACATGGGGGTGGAGCAAAGTCCTTTCATGCCCCAACTGCTCAACTTATGTCAATGATTTTGTGTCCTTAAGAAAGAAAAGCATGTATTCTGAAGTTAGCAATTAATACTTATGTTACTTATGAAGTTAGCAATTAATACTACATTCATGGACCATTGTCGTCCATGAATGATTCCACCCTCCAGCTTATTAGTGTAAAAAATAGAGTAAAAAATTCAATCCGCCTTTAACTTTGCCATTTTGTAATGTCAATCGTGCTTCTAAATCCAAAATGTTTCTGTCCCTTACCTTGCCTTTTGGTGCAACTGCACAGGTTGCAAGTACCATCGTTTCTTACACTGTGAGAACTATACATTCAAACATGCAGATTCTTCCTTATTTAATTTCTTTAAAAATAATACAGGGTGAAATTATTTGGTGGCAACAATTTGAAAAGTGATACGCCGTTTACAGCGAACCAACGAAATACATATTATATTAAATTCTAAGAAACATTCACATTAATAAATTCAATTTCAAATTGAATATTAGGACTGATTTTAGGACTTGCGTTTAATGGAAAGGCTAGTAAGAGATTCAGTATATGAACAAAATTAAACGCTACGGAATGACATATTATGAAAATTACGAACTGCAAATAATATACCAAGATTTCTCTTAACATGCCTAACAAGTTCATTTCAAAATACCAGAATCCTGTCTAGTTACTTCTTTGATTTATACTTAGAAAATAGGTCTACTGATTATTCGATCATAATGCGAATTATACAGAAACAAATTAATATATAAAATAAGTACTTCATAATAAATAGTTACAATTAATTTCCACTTCCACCGCTTTTTGATTTAGGATTGCAAAAAGAGAAACCTTTCCTTTAGGGGGGGGGTCGCCTTTAATAATTTTCAGGTTTGAGACTAAGGAATACAAAGGAACTTTTCCTATTTTCCGCTCAATGCTATCCCTAAACTGGGGTAGATCATGAAGTTATTATTTCATAGTCGGATGCTGGAATTTTAACTTTTGCAAGCACTTGAATTTAGCTGTTTCAGGTGCTTCTAAGGGCCTCCTATCTGCATCATACAGAGAATTGCATCACTGCACCATATAGGTAGGGGGGGGCCCTTAATAACTTAAAAGAAAACGAATTCCATTATCTACATATACTTAAAGATTCTAAAGTTAAAAGTAAATTGGAGTGAAATCAAGGCTATTCCTCAACTACACTGGTGTGCAAAAATTAAAGACGAGACGGTTTTTTTTTTTCAATATAACTTTGTACAAAAGCTTTCCAAATCAACACATTTAATACCGTAAGATCCCCAATACGTAAGGACATGAGTAATGTAAGCAACACTTACTAAAAGAGAAATCAGAGGGATAAAAAGAAGCTTTATTGAAAAAGTAGCATGGAGCGCAATGCGACTGAAGGCCGAAACATCCTGTGTGATGGGTGTCCAGCAAGAAACATCCGGTCTTTAATAGGGGATATGATCTCCCCTGACTGCTAGGCAGGTTTCACAGCGTCTGCCCATGCTGAGAATGAGAGTGTCAATGAGTTGTTGAGGCATTGCTGCCCATTCGTCTTGCAGCGCCAATCGAAGCTCCGGAATCGTTACTGGTGGTAAGGTACGAGCTGCCAAGCGTCTGCCTAGAAAATCCCATACATGCTCGATGGGATTGAGATCCGGAGATCGTGCCGGCCAATCCATACGTTCAATATCCTCACTCTCTAAGAGCTGTTCGGCAGCTACTGTGCGATGACATGGTGCATTGTCGTCCATGAACAAAAACTGCGGACCCATAGCGCCTCTAAAAAGACGCACATATGGAAGAAGAATCTCGTTACAATAACGGGTCCCGTTGACTGAATCTGCGTCGAAGATGTGAAGGTCTGTACGACTACCAAGCATGATGCCTCCCCAAACGAGAACACCGCCACCTCCATACCTGTCCCTTTCAATGATGTTCGAGGGATGATTGCGGCTTCCCCGCTCTCTCCAGATGAGTATGCGATGAGAATCGCTACTCAGACTGAATCTGCTCTCATCTGTAAAGAGTACGTCCCCATTCATTGTCTCTCCAATTCCGGTGTTCCCGGCACCACAGAGAACGCCTTCTCTGATGCGCAGACTTTAGAGTTACACACCGTACAGGGCGTCGTGCAAACAGACCACCACCGTGCAGTCTTCTGGCCACGGTAAAACGCGATATCCGTCGTCCAGTCGCCTGTGTCGTGTGTCTAGCTATTTCTCCCGCTGTCTGCTGCCTGTTTCTTCTGGCCTGTAAGGCTATATACCGGTCATCTGCGGGTGTGGTTCCTCGTGGACGACCACTACTAAACCCCCGGATAGCTGTTCCCGTAGTTTGAAATTGTCTCCAAAGTCGTGAAACGATGCTGTGAGCAATTCCGAACTCTGCAGCCACACTTGTCAGACTGCGGCCTTCCTCCAACTTCCCAAAGATTCGACCTCGGGTAAAAGCATCCAGATGTCGTCTAACAGATTGATTATTCGCCATTTCTTGCTGAGGCAGCAACTCGGTGTGATTTTAACTGCTATACGGCGTGCAATCTCTTTGCCAGAAATACTGATCATACACCGACAACATGCTTTATACTACTCAGACACTCCATTACGTCTACCTGCATATCTGCGCATGTGCTACCGTACATCACCTTACTTAATCTCCTGATTAGTCTTTCTGTCCGCTCTGCCTCTTCGTTCAGCTGATATGCTAATTTTTCGACTTCGTCCTTAATTTTTGCACACCAGTGTATATTAATATTAACAATCGTGTAAAAGGGGTTTAACACAAAATCAAAACATATCAAACTTAAAATAAGAATTTATAGTAGTACAAATTCTAAAAATAAAAAGCAAAAGGAAAAAAAAAATACAGGATAAAAAATATAAAAATAATAATTAATTTTCTTTTATAGAAATTCTAATTCCGAACTCATCAAGGGAAAATGACTTAAAGCTTGTATATATATGTAATGGAATCCGTCTTAAAGTTTAAACACGTAAATGTAGTTCAGCAGGACACTCAAAGGGCCTCCTAAACCTTCGGGCCTCTATGCGACGGCATTCTTTGCATACCCTTTTTTACGCCACTGATGATCTAATATCCGGAAAAATCCAGAATTGCCGAAGTTCCGATGAGTCCGGATTTCGCACTTTGTACTGTAGAAGTTTTTCTACACCCTTACTTGACTACTATGCAGATTTGCATAGCCTAAAACAATAGATTACATATATGAAACTATCAAAGCAAAAAATATTGTAAATAAAATATTAATAATACTCTATAGAAATGGAAAACAATAAATACAGAATACTTGTTAGCATAAGAAAAATTCTTTTCTTGTGTAAACAATCGTATTTTAATGCCTATTACTGTTTATATGAGGATGAAGGATACCATGCTGTCTTTGTTAGTAAATCAGCTTAGATAGTCTTTCTGTGATACAAGGCCTCTGAATTTTGGTAGTCCAACATGCAACGATAATTTGCATACTAACATTTTAACAACCCTAGTGTCTTTTCCTCAATGTCTCAAAGAAAGTCCTTTCCTTGCTCCTTACTTACTCACATCAAGATTTTCTAGAAGAAAAAAAGAAGTGAAATATTTTATTGATGAGGCAGTCTAAAGAGTGATTTTGTTGTAACATATCTTCAGTTATGGCCCCATAGTCCCGATTGTTCATCCTAAACTTAGATAAAGACAATATTTCACAGCAATCCCAGCTTCCTTTTATTAATGGTAAGTTTTGACTCGAACATTAGCTTTCCAGTGTTCTAAAACATTCTATCAGCTTGGCTTCTGAAAGGAGACATACCATGAAGGCATAAAGCAATCACAGTTTTTTTTTTTTTTTTTTTAAATACAAAAGCTATGCAGTACAGAACTTTTAATGAAGTTTTGAATTTAACGTCCAAAATTATATTATGAGTAATTAGAATCTCCAGGTTTTTTTTTTAAAACATATCAGGTTAGTGTAATTTACAAAATGACAAAAAATTACTACTGAAAATTAAATTTCAGATTTTATTTGCTTGTTGGTAAGGAATAATTTAAATACACAAACATTAAAGCACCATGAAACTGAAAGGAGGAAAAATTATTATATAAGAAAGAAAAAAAAAATGAATGAATACTACAAATACTACATATTAATACCATTTGGAGGAAAAATAATTATATAAGAAAAGAAAAAAAAAATGAATGAATACTACAAATACTACTAGTTAATATATATTACTACCATTTGGAGGAAAAATAATTATATAAGAAAAAAAAAAAAAAAAAAAAAAAAAAAGAATGAATAATACAAATACTACTAGTTAATATATATATATTACTACCATTTGTTTCAATCAGAGAAGATAATAATTGAAAATATTCATTTGAAATTGTTAATTTTTATAACAAGACTTTTCGGAACATTCTTATTATGTTATTTTCTTGAATGTAAAATTTTTGAAGCAAAAAGCTTATTATGGCTACAGCTTAATCTGTGAACTTTCAGTACATCAGAACGAGAAAATGCTTTACTACATAAGTCACAAATGTGGGATTTTAAACCAGTGTGAGTAAGGATATGTCTTTGAAGATCACCCTTGCGGCGAAACTTCCTAGTGCAAATATTACATGCGAATGGTCGTTCTTCCTCTAGAGCATAGGTGCTATGTAAATCAGGATTCAAAACATCTAGGTTCTCTGATGTACAAAATAAATCATTTTGATATATTATTCCTTGATTTCTTGGAAATAAATCTATAAAAAAGAAACAAAACTTTATTATATTTTGTTAAAAGTTACACTTTTGAAAATGAATTCATTTACAGCTACGTGGCTCGAATAAAACTGAAAAAAGTCATTAAAATTCGAAACTCGTAATTTCTGTTATAAACACACAATAAAAACCAACATTTATGTGTATAGAACATGTAAACACAGCTCAAAATACAAGTAAAGAATTTACATGTTAATTATTCAAAAGATTCTAAACTGTACTAAAACTGTGAACACAATTCATGACATTTCCGACTTGATTTTTCTTCAATAAAAAATTATGATACCTAAAAAGGGTAAACTATGCATTGGACTCCTGAAATCCTTAAATTAATGCCAAACAAGTCAAATTTTATCAGTTACTGCAGAATTTACTTTTCTTCAAATCTTTAAAAGTGCAGCAGTTTATATGTAAGTTTATTCTTACATAACAGAGACAGCAAACGTCATGAATAAGATAATTCTTATTTTCCTCAAAATAATCAGCTAAATATATAAAAATCATTAAAGGTGATTTCATTAAACACGATCAATAAAAAGTATATAAATAAATAAACATATTTTAGACTTTAATTAAAAAAACATGAATATAAGCAATACACATACAAAAAAGAATTAGGTACAAAAATAGAAACTTAAATGAAATCAACAGAGTCATTAGATTATGTTAAAACTGAATTAAATTTCAGCAGTGCAAATAAACATGAACATAACAAACAGTGTCAAAGAAAATATCTATTCCTAAATAATGTTCTGATGGTCAACAGGGCAAGAATGGGGGGGGGGGGGGGGGAATTCTGCAAATGATGAAAAAATTATAACAATAGATTACATTCACATGCATAAAAAAATATAGTTGAATAATTGTGTATGTAATAATGGGGCAATTTTTACTTTTTCAGGGTGACTTTATTTTTTTTGGGAGGGGGGGTGGAGGAAAATTTTGGGAATTTATGCAAATGATGAAAAAATTATAACAATAGATTACATTCACATGCATAAAAAAATATAGTTGAATAATTGTGTATGTAATAAGGGGGCAATTTTTACTTTTTCAGGGTGACTTTATTTTTTTTGGGAGGGGGGGTGGAGGAAAATTTTGGGAATTTATTTCAATGATTTTTTTTACGATAATATTAAAATAGTTGAGGAAAAACTGATATGCATAATTTAAAAATAAAATAATAAAAAAGTAACATTACTTAAATACCTGCAAAGTTAAAAAAAAAAGGAAAACATTTCTTATTTTAATAATCCTGACATCTTTCTTTATGAGTCATATTTTATTAAAAGTGTTTCAGATAATAGTTAAATGTTTATGTCATAAAGTACATTATAACTTCCAAGAATACAAGAAACTATATTATCAGTTATGACTTCAAGTAAGAAGGTAAAAGTTCATCGTCTTCATTAAGCAATCTATCCAATTTTATTTACAAACAGTAAATCACAAGCATACATATAACAATCTGTAAATTTTTTAAATGCTGCTCTTCTGCAATGTGCTGAAAAATAAACGTGCTAATTTTTAAAATATAAATTAAACACACGTACACATACACACCACACACACACACAAAAAAAAAAAAAAAAAAAAAAAATACTGTAATGAGTTAATATTTTAAAATCGCTATTATTTTCTTTTAAGAAGAATTGATTCAAATATTTTGAGATCACAATAAAACAGTTTTACAAAAATGAATCTAAATGCTTCAAATATTCAGCAAGCAGTTCTATAAGTATATATATTTTAACAATCTTTTAGTAAGCATACAAATTACATATAAACGTTAAACATACAATTACCATCAGTAATATACTGATTAATAACATATCAGCTTCAAATTTTACAGTATGATAGTTTTAAAACCAACATTTCAAAGCTGCAATTTTGAGTGAAATGCCAACAGAAGATAATAAACTCACAGTAGCATGTAAAACAATAATATAAATTTCATCATAATATCATCAGTGATAAAAGGTAGCTTCATAACGAAACAAAATGCAGCTCATTTCATATTAATCAAAACTGATTATCCGTAAAACATTTCATGTGACAAAACAATTTAACTCACTTATGTCAAATTGTTTTACATGCATATTGGTCCTACTTATTTTTTTTTTTTTTTTTGATAACAGGAATGCATGTTAGCAATACTTCATAAGTATAAAAGGGGGACACTAATAAAAGAGATACTCTTTTACTAGTTTGTCTCAAAATTTATGTTTCTTCCTCACAAAGCTATTTAGAAGATAAATATTTTACTGGAATTCAGTAACTTGAAAACAAAGTGACCTTAGATACTCAAATACTTCAAATTAAATATTCATGAAACAAATAAAACATATGCTGATAAATAACTTTTTTATCAAGTAAGAGATACCGTTATTGGTATGTAATTAAGCAGGATATAAACGGAGTAGAACACCATATTCCACAATTAAATAAATATGCAATTTTATCAATTTTATTGACCAGCAATGATATGAAATTGCATGGGATAGCTTCAAAAATTCCCCCTCCCCCCAAAAAACTAGGAGGTAATTGAAGAAATACAGAAAGAATGGTATTTATACAAAGAGTATAATATATAATTATCCTAAAAAAGAAAATTATACATCAACAAAAACCTTCTCTTTATTAGGAAAAAATAGGGAGAAATACAAAGAATTAAAAAATTAACAGAAATAAGTACAGAAACATTAATTCATATATGCAACTAAAATAAGGTGTGTCAAGACACAAGACAATGTTTTGTGAATATGAATAGGATATAAAATAGTAATTTAAAGTATTTAAAAAATGTTATAATTTGGGAAAAGCATAAGCAAATTACATGAATTCATTTAAATATATTATAACTACTGCTGATATTAAAAACCAAAAGAGAACAGCAGCTTGCCTTCATTTATCAGGTTACTTTGTATTCTTATATATATATATATAGTAGTAGGTAGGAACATTGCAGCGACCTTGCTAAAAAGTTACCAGGAGCGGTAGCTCCACGAAATGTTGTCACATAGTACTACATAAACATTAAGAAATTTGCCTGGTAAAACTGTATAAGCGCGATAAAACTGCCAAATTTTAGTGCTGGAAGACTTGCTAATGCACGAAAAAATTAATTAATCTGACCGTTGTGTAATGCGAAAAGTTTATATATAAAGTAAGAAATTTAGAACCAATTTTTCATAAAGATACAAAATTGAAATTCATAGGTAATAAATTTCATAAAATTCTATAAATGCAAAAAACTGAATTTAATAAATATTAAAACTAAAATACTTCAAATAAGTAATACCATAATTAAAAAAATCAATGAAATTAAAGAATACAAAAGAAGAGGATTTCAATCTCACTTTGTCAGGAGGAAGAACATTGAAATCTCTCTTCCATAAAAAATACTTGTTTTTCTGTATCCAGAATTAGCTGATGAAACATTCTGATGTATTTTAATTATAATAAATCACCCGAAAATTTAGGCCCCTCCCCAAAACTAATAATTAATATAATATACATTCAGGACAATTAATTAATTCTTTGGTTGTCTAGCTTGTAGAAAAATATACTTCTAACAATGCACTTTAGTGATCAAAGTGCATATGAAATAACTTAAGTGATGACAATATGATAAATGAAACATACAGTTAATATGTGTAGTTAAAATAACTGCCAACATAAATGAGTAAAAGAACACCATTACAGAAAGTTATTAATTTAGCAATAAAACTTATATTTAAGTTAAACTTAACAAAGTTAAAAAAAAATATCTTTGGCATCAAAAAAGGCAAGTGGTTTTACAATTTAAGTGAAAACTGCAAACTTTCTTTCTGGGAAAAATAAATTACCGAATACTATTACTATATTCTTCCCCATGACAAACACACTGCTGGCCATTAAAATTGCAACACCAGGAAGAAATGATTTGAATGAACGTCAAAATCACATGAAAGGAAGAAGATGTTGGATTTGAATTTCAGCGCATTTAGACGACGCAGGAGGATGAAATGACATTTGAAGGACTGCATGAAAGAAAAGTTGAGCAGTGGATTTCTTATTCGGAAAGCGCTTTGTAAGGTCAGAGTTTGCTCAAAATATCATTTTATGTCTTGAATAATAAGATGAAATGCTCACCAGCAAGAGTCAAAATTCGATAAACGCAGGATTGTTGCCTATCAAGAATGTTGATCATCATTCCTTGATATTGCCCATAGCACTGGTCATCCAACCACTGTAATGCGAATATGGAATCAACGGATTGCTGAGGGTAAGACTAAACAGCATGCAGGGTCTCAACACCCAAAAGGGAAGACATGTTGTGAGGTCAGCCCTGTAAAAACCATACAACTATATAACAAACCATTAGTCAGGCAATGGGCATGTTTACAGTACACTCAGTACTTGTATGGTGCATTGACATTTGCTGCAGCACAGATTATCAGCACAGCGACAATTACTTTGGCATCCTTTGACTATGCAGCATAGAGAGAGATGGCCATTCTGGTGCACCAAAAAACAAAGTGGGATTCAGGAGTGGCATATTTCAGATGAGTCCCGGCACAATGTCATCTTTTCAGATGAGTCCCGGTTCTGCGTGCAGTATTCTGATGGCCGTATACATGTCTAGAGGCTCCGAAGAGACCGCACGCGGCCACCTTGCATTTGATATTGGCCTAGGGGCCCTGCATCAGGTGTGATGCTTTGAGCAGCCATTGGATATACGGCATACACATCTCTTTGGACTGAACGGTAATTTGAATGCAGATTGGTGCATTTCTGACATCTTATTTCCAGTGGTTGTGCTCTATATTCAAGGCCTGCCAAACACCATCTTTCTACCAGATAATGCAAGACTAAATGTTGCACATCATGTTCTGACCTTCTCCGCTACAGTATTCGACTGTTGCTCTGGCCTGCACGGTCTCCAGATATGTCACCTATCGAAAACATCTGGTCATGGGTTTCTGAGAGACTGGCCCGCCACCCCTCTCCAGCTAACGTGATTGATGAAGTGGGGCATAGACTTGAAGCAGCATAGAATGCGTTGCCCGTTTCTGTCATCCAAGCCTACTTAGTTTCCATGCCTAACTGGGTAAGGGTTGTTTTAACTGCCAGGAGTGGCAGCTATTTCAACTAATTTTGCACCCCTGTAAACCCCAAAACTGCTTATAAATTTAATAATTTTGTCTTCATGCCATACTGTTTATGCATAATAAATATCTTTTTTTTGTATTTGCTTTCCTTCATGGTGTTGCGATTTTAATGGCCAGCACTGTATATTGCTTCAACCTGTAGAATTCTGGCTAATGAAAATGTTTTATTTGACAGAAGTAAAATTCCATTATGTATTTTTACGAATTTGTTGCCATTATACCTAACTTCCTTTAATACATTTTTAATTCTGAAACAAAGCTTCTATTAATTCTTTCTAAAATTTTAGACAGAATTATCCTGTGAGAAAATGCAAGAATAAATTATACATTTTTATTATTACAGCAGACACCAGCACATAAAAATTATATATATTTAACAAGAAACATTGCTCAAGCTAATTATGGTCTACTCCAATAAAATGCAAAGGCTCCAATTTTCTTCAAAGCAAGCTAAACAAGAAACATAAACATCTTCTTCCTGAACAATTTTTTTATATACATATTTTTCGACAAATTGAAATTTTATAACTAATTAAATTTTATTTTATAAATCAATGATAATCTTTCAATGCAGAAAATCTCAGACTATTATCATAACATAATTAAATAAACGCTTTACTGGCTTTACGCGCATGCGTAAGAGGTTCGGATTATAGATCATTCCAGATAATGGACGTCCGGATTACGGACTTTGTACTGTATTATGAATGCAATAAACAGTACTACTTTGAAAACAAACAAAAATATTTCAACAGTATATTAAACAATTAGAATAATATTTCAACAAATATATACTGAAATATAGGGTTATTACTAATCATTGCCTTAGAAATCCAAGTTATTTATTTGCATACATATTACACATAATCTCACCAATTTCTTAACCAAGAAAAATAATTATATTCATCAGTGGTCATTAAAATTGACTGCCAGGAGGCATTTAATGCACTAGAAAACACAAATGTCAAATTTTGCATAAAATATATTGGAAAATATATTTCACCATTGTGATCAATTAAATGCATGCGTGCCCATTTAACCCTTTGTGCTGGAGCATGAACAGATTTTCTGCATATCCAGTATATGAAAAAATTTCATAACATAAACAAATTTAAAATTTTAATACTAACCCTACAGCTAATGGTTTATAGAATATCCCTTTCTAAGTAAAGCACTCCTGGAGAGTAAATCTTTCATTCAAAACAAGCAAATTAGAATAAAACATCTTCAGTTTTGAAAGATTACAAGATAAATAAGCTTTTTAAAGTTTCAGTATAGAAAATGAATGCTCTCTTTCATTTTGGTAACATAAAAAACAATCTTAACATTATTCTGGTGTTTTAAATCCAGAAAAAATTTTGTTTCCAAAAATAAAATTCAATTTTTAAATAATGGCAATTTTAGCTTTGTATAAACTGTTCCATTTCCACTTTCGCTTCATCAGCATTTACACCTTTACTATAAATTCCCTCAACATATGTTTTCTTTGTGAAGCAGCAAAGAAGAATGTTTCTTTGTCATAATCATATATAAATTTAATTGTATTGTTTACATCCAGAATGTTGTCATCACCTGTTTCCAAATGTTTCAATTACTTCCTAAGAGTATATTTCTATTATTGTTATCATTGATTTTATTTGGTAGTCCTCTTGTCTCCCAATATATAATTGGAATATTTCCAGCTACAATTTCAGGTGTGTTAAAATTGTTAACATATTTTTAATGAAACTGCTAATGCTGCTAAATTCTGCTGCCAGGTGCAGAATTTAAGAAAGACAACATTTTTAGAATTTAGAGAAGCAACAAGTAAAAAAATTTAGGGTTGACAAAATTTTGAATTTATGAAGATACTGGGCAGCAGAATTTTGAGGTGGAAACATTTTAAAGTTTAGAAGCACCAATCAACAAAATTTTCAAATTTAGGAAGACACCAGTCAGCAGAATTTACAGGGAATAAAAATTTTAGTCTTACAAAATTTATGGATGGTAAACATTTTTACAAGACATCAGGCAGAAAACCTTAGGGATAACAGAATTTTATGAATTTAGAAAAATACCAAGGAATAAAATTTAGGGAAACTCGGCAACAAAATGCCTACTGCCATGCTATCTCATAATGAGATCACTGTACATACTGAACCTGTAGATGATTGCAATGATTTGCTAGCACTTTATTTTATTTACACACATATTAATAAAACAAATCTAAAATCAACTCATTTATTCATTTATTCTCATTCATAATTTAACTGGTTTTTCAGATGTTTAATATCTAAATAGTTTATTTAATGCTGTTTTTAATATTAAGGCTATTCTGCTTAAAATATTTATTGCATTAGATTAGGCAGACAATATTTTATTTGAAAAAGGTTTTATCATTAAATATTTTTTTAAATATTTAATTAAAAACACCTATTTGAAAAAATACATAATTCTTGAATTATATTTTAATTTTTTTTTAAACTTCCATTCAATTTTCTACTACTCCATTGTCAACCATGTTCAGCAAGCGAATTGTAAAATGAATAAATTCTGTAGATGAGTTGTGTTGTACAATAAAGTTCTGACTTTAAAATAGTTAGATATATTTGTTGTATTGTTGCAGATCTACTATTAGCATTTTTGAAGTTAATATTTGTTTCATAAAAATATTCCATAATTACATATTCGAAGCTTTTCTCTGTATGTTAGATAGTAAATATAAAAGTCAAAAACAGATAATTTACTTTAACATGGAAAATATAACAAACTAAAATAGTTTACTAATCTGTAATAGTTAGGTACAAAATCTATTATTTCATACAATAACAACAAATACTTTAGTGCAAGACCTTTTTTTCAGCACACAATAGGTATGTTTCTATTTTACCTAATAGGAAATGTAGCCCTGATCTTGAATCTGCTGGTACTTCTTTTCAGCATGTTACAGATTTTTAGCTAAACTGCTGCTATTTGTCCCCTTGCAAGTGATTAGCAATAGGGTGAACAAAACCCTCATAAATGCATTTAAAATTTGTAGGAATAACAAGGCTTAAAATACATAACTAAAGTACGGAAAGTGAAAAAGATACAACTAATTGAATGCAATATATATATATATTATATATATATATATATATATATAAAGACTAAAGAAAAAACTGGTAAGAAGAGACTTATAATTATAAACCAGCCTCTAACTCTGCTCACTTATTCTGTAATATCATTATATATATATATATATTTAAATTTTAATTTACTTTATATTTTAAATATAAAATTCCAATTAATATTACATTAATATACAAATATGTTGACTGTGTAAATATGACTTTAACAGGCATTTTCCAGTCTATAAGACTTATATAATCTGCATAAATAAGGTTTTAAATGTGAGTGAATTGCTAAATAAAAGTGAAGACTCTCTTTTCAGGAAAAAGTATCACTACAGCACATTACATTTAAAGGGACATTTCCCAGTATGACAAAATGTGCTGTTTCAAATTAGTTTTTTGAAATGCTGAATAAGAAAAAAAAAAAGTGATATTTGAAACAAGATTCTTTAAATGATGTTTCAACTGAGAAAAGCAACTGCTAGATTCATTTAGCATTGTTTGTTCAGAATATCTGTTACAACTCATGAACCCGTCCTGATAATATTCACTAACATTACATACACCTAAGAAAGATAAATGAATTCTCAATTAGTAACAACTAGAAAAGGAATATCAAACATAAATAATTATACTAAGAATACAATTTAAAATACTACTCACCTTCGTGTTTTTAATTTCCATATTTCTTAAAAACAGTACTTAAATTTTTTAAATAATAATAATTTCATTTTGCTTTTCAATTAATTAAAAAGTAGCCTATCAAAGAAATCCATCATCTAAGTTAATAATAAGTCTAAAACCAAAGTCAGCAGGCAGAATGTTTATGTCCTTAATTTTGTGAAAAGCATTTTTTCAGGATTGTGAAATTAAAAAAAAAAAAAAAAAAAAAAAAGAGTTACAACATAAAATTATTCTTAAACATTATGAAGATTCCTTTTAAATGTAATATGCATTTAAATATAAGCAAGTTTTCTTTAGTTAAACAGCAAAGTAAAATGTAAAACTGAATTTTATTACAAACAAAAAGATTAAATCCTATAAAAACATAAAACACAAAAAATCAGAATTAAATGTTACCACACAGAGCTCATAATATTTATTGCTTTCTGATATCTCTGACCAAAGCTGTGTTTTCGTACCTATAATACGATGAAAACAGAAATTCTAAATAAAAATGACAAACTAACAAGAAGAAAGCTAGAAAGCCTGGAATCAAGACTCATATTTCTGTGAATACTTATAGTGTTAAACCATTCATCACCATTCATCAATACAGAAGTTTTCTGCAGCATTGCTTCCTTTTAAATTTATCTTAATGTGCACTATACACATTGAACCCTTTCATTATATACAGTGAACTGTTTCATGACAAATCTAATAAAATCACTTTTGAGAGCAATTAATATTTTTGAGAACATAAACAAACATTAACTCTCTAAGATAACTATGTATTCAAAAGATAATAAATCATCTGTAACTGCGAGTGGTCATTATAGAGTTCATTCATTGTGATTATAATTTTATTATAATTATTCATTGTAACTGTTTTCTAAATCACATGTATATAATGCATATCACAAAAGAACCTAATAGACCTTATACACATTTTAAATTATTTTAAAACATTGTGCAGTTATATTTTATGGATTTTGGTATGATGAAAGGAGCAAATTTATGTTTTCCAAAGTGGCACAAATGTGTCTGATTGCTACTGATATGTAATATGAATAACAGTTTTTTTTTTTTTTTAAATCTCAGTCTGATATGCACCAAAATAAATTATGTGTCAGAAGAAGCTCACCAGTAAGATAAAGTTGACAGTTCATTGGCATTGATAAGTTCACTCACAAGATGAGCACAGATGCTGATTTTCACAAGAAAGCATACAAATTAGCACACCTTGTTTTCTACAGTTATATAACTATAGTGAACTTTTTAGTGGCAACAAATGCTAGTGACAGAGCTGGTGCAGTGACACTAGACAGCAAAACTTTTAAAATTTAAGAAGAAACCAGGTGACAGAATTTAGAAATTTTCATGTCTGCACCATTGTGGTGAAAAGCCTAGCACCAACTGGTCAACTAACCACCAGAGATAGTGACAACTATCTCTGAAAGTAACCAGTATTTCTAATATAAACAAACATAAACACTGAACATACCAATCCAAGATGGCCATCTTCACTGATGATCAGAATCATTTGCAAATATGGGTGGAAGTATCTTAGATAAAATATTCAATGAATTAAATAAGTCAGAAATTTCTCCTAACATTCTGGCGTTAAAATTGATTTCTTCTTTTCAGTAGCACTGGTAAGTACGACAGAAATATGAACAACTGTAACTGGTAGTTCAATTTTAATATCTATTAACAAGCATTTCTTTCTCTAACAGACTAAACAGAAAGAATAAAAGATTAGCATTACATGGTTTGGTTATTTTAAATACAGCAAAGCACTCGAGGGTTATCTGCCTAAGAGGAGGGATACCTTCATGGAGGAATTTCTAGGGGAAACTGGCTCATATACACATCATACAAGGGAGAAAATATGAAAAGGTTCATGCACTGGGATTCGAACCCCGGACTGAACTACCAGTGCTCAGCAACTTTACCATTCGGCAGTTGATTGCATATACCTTAGTCTTTCTTCAAAACCAGAAAGCTATAACTATAATAATTCAATACAGTTATAGAAAATATAAAACAAATTTATGTAAATAAAAGTTTTAAAAATCATTTTATTTATTTGATATTTATATCCTTTTCATAGTTTATCAAAAGCCAATTTTACAATTTCAAAATATAAATATTCATTATATTGGATATCATTTTATATGAAGTAGTAATTTATAAGCATTTATTTTTGAAAATGACATACTATTTACAATTATTTTAAAACCGATACTCTTAGTTCATTAAAAAATGAGTACAATCAACTTTTGATAACTCAAACATGAGCTACAGACAACTCCTGATACCTAAAACATGAGTACAGTCAACTCCTGAAACCTGAAACATGAGTACAGTCAACTCCTATTTACTGGAGGCAGATTAACTGGACCCTCACTAAAAAAAGGAAGCACTCTGGTTTAAAAAATATTACTGCAAGAATCATCAGCAGACATGCTAGTGAGACAGAGTGTAAGAACAGACATTGATATGACTCTTTAGTTGATGACTTTTCAGGCTTATCCTCCCTTTCTCCTTTCCAATACATTTTTAACAAGCTGACTGCAGTTATAAATTCCTTCTTGTGTCCTGTCCCCCTCCTTACAGGTGATAACAAACATGCTCGTAATTTGGTGATATAATAATTGAAGAAGCTCTGGTTAGTAAATAATTTCTGTACTTTTCCTGAAACAAAAATTGATATTTTCAGAAGCTGCTCGGATGATGATGTCTGCTAATGAAAAGGACGCACATGGAGCTGCACTTTATCATGTCAAAGTGCCTTCCGGACCACTTGAAAAGGCAAAAAGATAGACTGCTGACTGACAAAATGACACTATGCAAGATAAGAACATTCATTTTAAAAAAAAAGCGAACTCAGCACACAAAAAGAAAGTTCTAACTTTTTTACACAAATCTGAACTGTCAGAGTGATAAAGGTTTTTTTGCATATTTTACTGTACTGTGATTTTTGTTTGTTGATAAAGTTGATTAAAAACTTTATTAAGCCACAGTTCCTGAAAATACTGGATAGGTAAATTGCCTTGTAGCATTTTTTTCTTTTCCTACACTATGGTTTTTTTTTTTTTTTAACTGACTTTAGATTAACTGCGATTTTGAGTTAACTGTGCATATCTTCCCATGTATTATCCCGGTAAATCAAGAGTTGACTGTACTAACTTTTCAATGGCTTAAAATGCACATATTTTAGTCAACAAGTATCTTTTTCAATTGTAGTTCACCTTTATTTACTTGAATAAACATAATATATTTTTATACTATATAAAATATAGCAAAATCCTACAAAAGCAATAAATAAAAATATCACATGAAAAATTTATAATGCATATTATGGACAGACATGTTTCTCTTACTAAAAGCTTTGTTTAACTAAAACTAATTCATATATAAATCTAATTACTGTAAAATATTTCATTACAAAAATTGGAAAAAAATTATATAATTTATTGGAAATGAAATTTTGAATCATGAGTTAACATATGTCTCTTTACATGATACCTGATTTTGAAACTTCTTTTTACAAATATTACATGAGAAAGGACGCTCCCCTGTATGGATTCTTATATGCTTCTTTAAATTGCCTTTATGAGAAGTTGCATAACTACAATATGGACAAGACCTTGGACGTTCCTCAAATGATGCAAGAAGTGATATGTTTTCATAAACCATAGTTTGATTTGTATCTGATGAATCTACAGGAAAAAGTTATAATTTTAATTAAATGATAAACATAATTCATTATATGGCATAAAATAAATCAACAAGGCTTTGTTTATGATGCAAGACCATTCTAAACTCTCAAACCAGTTTTTATGCAGTGGATGGGAACAGCATTAAAAAAAAAAAAAAAAAAAAAAAAAAAGCACAAAACTTCATGAGTAGCTATTAAAAAAAAGAGAGTCATTTAGAGTTAACTTTTTTTAGTTACCATGTAGTCGGTGATTAGTTTTTGTGATGACTCTTATTTTACTATCTCAGTAGCCAGATACACAAGATTGAAGCTCCTTTTTTTTATTGATTATTTATTTTACTTTTTTTTATTGATAACTTCATGAACTATGTTCCAATTTGATTGAAATTATCATATACTGCACAAAAACAGGTTTGAGTGTATCTAATTAAAGAAGATAATGCAGTATGAATTCAAGAAAAAAGCTAAATTATCAAATATTAACATGCATATATGAGCATGTATTCACATTCATTTTTAACACATTATAATGCGTATACACAGGTATCTCATGTTTTATAAATGTGTGTTAATTATTCTTATGAATCTATCTATATATATATATATGCCCGTTTTATAGAAGGAATAGGAAGACTGGAGAACAGCTGCAACGAATTGGTTACGGTTCTTCCTTGTAAAGCTTAACTGCGGCTGGCCGTGACCATAATCACAAACACGCATCATCACCTGGACTGATTTATTTATAAAATAGGATAGATGGTACATGAATCATGTAGTAGGGATTATTTTCCATTCTTATTTTTCCCCTATGTATTTTCACTGCATTCAAAGAGCACAATAAAAGGAAGCAGAAAATGACTTTTAATTAAATTAAGATAATATGCTGATCATCATTTGTCATTAACTATTTCATTGTGTTTAATTTCGTGCATTTGTATATTTATTTATATACTGTAAAAATATGATTGTTTTTAAAGCTTGATTTTGCTATATACAGTCAAAAGTCGTTAATTCGGACACCCATAATCCGGACCTCAAAGCTTCAAACTTTCTGCGCATGCGTCGCATTGAGGCCTTTACAGCTGAGAATGTGCTTGTGCGCGTGCGCAAAATACGTTTACGAGTGCGCGTTTAATGTATAACGGACGGTATAAGCTAAGCAAAAATTATTTAATTATCTATTTCTGTTAATGTTGCAGATTGCGTTGTTCCTTAATCTTCGAATTAGATCCGGCTTATTATTTTTTGCAAACTGTTAGAGCAATTTTATAAAAGTAAGCTTGAAGATTATGTCAAATAGAATTCCTGATATATATTTATTAATATGTAAATGATCTACAAAGCGAAAGTATGTTTCGAAGTTCATTAAACAAAAAGTGGAATTTCTACAAAAAATGGATAAAGGCATATCCTTTGTTTATCTTTAACGCCGCGCAATGAATTGGAAGTTGATCTGTCAGCACTATCCTTATCTTCAGGGCAGATGTTTTTATTTTATTTGGCTTATAATTCCTTATTAAATGTAGTATTTCATCTCGATGTACTCCATCTTTGATATGATTTAAATCAAATTCCTCATCATTATAATTCGCTTCCGATAGCGAAGAAAGTGACAGAGGTTATTGAAAACGAAAAAAATTCAATTGACAAATTAGTCGGTATTCTCGACACAGCAATTATAGGACTTGAACAGCGGAATTTTGTAACTGAACAAGAAATTATGTCTGTTTCAAGAATTAAAGAGAATGTATTATCACATAAAAAACGAAGCCACTTAAACAACTTACATTGAAAGAAATGTTTAATAAAGTAAACAAATAAATATTAAACTTTCTTTTTTGTAAATTTTGATACCCTTTAGATCATAATTGTTCTTTATTTCATAAATTTTCGGTTTCATATTTTTAATTTTATAATTTCTGCATGCCATCTTACCAGATTTAAACTGATGATCTATAATCCGGAATCGCCGAAGTCCCGACGAGTCCGGATTAACGACTTTTGACTGTATACCTAAATTTTATGATAAAGTATAATAAATAGCTATTATTATATAATTGCCATTATAATTATTTATTTATTACATAATTTTCATTACAATGAATTCTAATATAAAGTATTATTTTAAGATAATAATAATTATTATAATAATACTATAATTAATAATTATTATACATCATTTTTATCTTTGAACTTCAGTTGTACATTAACATGCACTGAAAAAAAGGAATTTCTTAATAATTAGTTATAATAATTTATTATAGTTATTTAATTAATTCTAATAATTCTTTTTGGCTAAAACCTACCATAATTTTGAATAGATAAACCACTGCTTATACGTGTTTAAAGGTTAAAAATTTAGGTCTGCAGTGTATCTGAGGGAATTTTTTTTTTTTTTCCTGTCCTTAAAATTTCACTAGTTCAGATCGTAAGTTATGCACAAGTGAAACATTAAGAATTCACTGCAATATTCTAAGCTCAGATTCCATTAAGGCAGTGTAATAAGTTCATACTCACCTAACTAAGGTAGGTGGCATTCTCTATAAAGACACTGCAATGCATGCACTTTCTGCTTAACTCCATGGTTTTGCCCGCGTTTTTCTTATGACTTTTTGTTTTAACGGAAACAGATACGTTTACTTGCCAACTGCTGTATTCATTCTTACATGATTTTACTGCTTTGTAGCTTGTGTTATCATCCATGCTTTAAAAATATTACTATAGCTCCTACTTGAAGAAAGAGTTATACAGCTGCTTTAAGCTTTCGACAGTGAAGAAAGTGATCGAAATTGGAAATCGCGCTGCAGCTAAAGAATTTCAAGTTGACAAGCAATGGATTTGGTGGTGAAAATACAGCAGAGAGAAAGTGGATTATCAGTATCAACAGTTAGAGTTCGCCTTCAAGCAAAAGTACTTGCTCGACAAATGAGCATTAAAAATTTTGTTGGAGCACCTAATTGGTGTTTCATGTTCATGAAGCGAAAATTATCTGTCAGAACCTAAACAACAGATGGACAAACGCTCCCTGTGGACTAGCTTGAAAAAAGGATAACTTTTTTGGAGTACACATCTAAGAAAATTAAAGAACAAAATTTGAAAAGTGGGCAATTACTTAATATGGATGAAGTGCCCGAAGGGCTGTAAAGTTTGTAGGGAAAATGAGACTCTGACTCCCTCATATTCATATACTATTAAAATACAGGGTGTTTCATAGATCATGGGACAAACTTGGTGGAACATACTAAAACATGCATTTTTTTATAGGAATGTAGAGTCTAAAGTGACGGGTTAAGGCAGGAACTCAAAAAAATGACATGAGAGGAAAATGTGTTTATGAACAAAATCAAGGCAAAGTACTTCTTTGTAGCAATACAGTATTCACAATAAATGTTCGAAATTACAATCACCAGCAGTAATACATGCTTGATAACGTCGCAGAAGGGATTGACGAACATTCTGAAAAACGACAGGCATTTCGCGCACACTTGCAGCCGCAATGGACAGTCATGCAACAAGGCACTCCAGTGAGTCAACGGGAGTCTTGCAAATGATGCTCTTCAGATAGCCCCATAAAAAAATCCAAGCTGGATAAATCTGGCGAACGGGGTGGCCATAGAATGGGTCCAAAACAGCCAATCCATCGGCCTGCAAATGTCCCATCCAAGTAATTGTGGACCCGCACATGGTTATGGGCTGGTACACCATCATGCTGGAACCACATGCAATCACGAACGAAAGCCGGAACATTCTGCAGCAATTCCGGTAGCCCGTCTTGCAGAAAAATATGATAGCATAAGCTATTTGTACGTGCAGGTAAGAGGTATGGGCCTATGAGGTAGTCGTTAACAATACCCGCCCACACATTCACGAAAAAGTGGATTTGAAATACATGTAGACGTGTGGATTATGAGTTGCCCACACGTGCATGTTGTGGCTATTGAAAATGCCGTCCTGTGAGAAAGTTGCCTTGTCCGTGAATAGCACATGTGATGGGAAATCCGGCCGCGCCGCACACTGCTGCAAGAACCAATGACATATATGAACTCGAAGAGGGTAATCAGTCTCTTGCAAGGCTTGGACTCCCTGCAAATGGTATGGGTGCAAACCATTTTAATGCAATACTCTCCAAACGGTGGAATGACTCAGCTGCAGACGACGTGCAATAGCTCTTGTACTTGTCTAAGGTGATTCATGTACAATGTTCAAGATGGGTTCTTCAATGCGAGGTCATTGTGCACTTCTTCCTCTCCTAGTGTCAGAGGTGGTTTTAAATGACCAGTTTTCACACAGAGACCGATGCAACCTCTCGAACATTGTGTGCTTCAGAATATGCCTGTTTGGAAACCGGTCTTGGTACAATCGTAGTGCTGCTCTGCCGTTCCCATTAGCAGCACTATAGTACATGAGATGCATGTCAGCTTTTTTCCTGTGCGTAAATTCACCCATCACGCTCGATATCAGAGTTGCGAATGATCTTCTGATGCATCGGATCAAGGTTTGTCTGGCTCACTACCACCCTCTACTGCTGCACTGCCAGCCAATTACAGCTGTAGTTCCTATTACTGTTCCCTTTTTTAAGCATTTATTGTGAATACTGTATTGCTGAAAAGAAGCACTTTGCGTTGATTTTGTACATAAACATATTTTCCTCTCGTGTTGTTTTTGCGTTCCTGCCTTAACCTCTCACTTTAGACCCTACATTCCTATACAAAAAATGCATGTTTTAGTATGCTCCACCACCCCTCCAAGTTTGTCCATGATCTATGAAACACCCTGTATATATAAAACATATACAAGTGGGTTACAGCTTCTTTTTTTTTTTTTTAATATAAAAGAAGTAATAGATGCTACAGAAAAAAACTGATGGTATAGCAAATTATTTATATTAAGTAGCATTTATTATGAAATGAAGAAACTGGCGTTAGTTATTTCTAAGACAGTTTCGGCAATATTTTCTTTGTTGGATGGGCATAGATCCGATTTGATAAACCTTTAGAGCTGAGAAGAGTCTTTCCACACTAACTTGAGTAGGAGGAAGAGCTGTTCTTGTAGGGCTACTTCTTTTAACTTTTCAGGATAGATTTTTTATACGTTCTAAAAAAAGTGTCTTGCAAGCATAATCATATTTCTCTAGTTCTTCAAAGGCCATGTAATTTTTCATTTTTGTATCTAAAGGCACTTGGCTCTTTATTTTCATTCACTTTTCCTTAGCCTTTTCAATATTATTCAAAAATATTTCTCAAAATCTAATTCATCTTTGAAAGAGGATGATAGAAACTCAATTGCAATGTCTGTAGTTTGACTGTGCTGATTCATATTCTCCAATTGTTCTGAGAATAATTTCATTCTTAATGAAAGTTCATAGATGGCTTTCTTTGCCTTTTTAATTTGTTCATCATCCAAGAAAATTCGGCGTTTTGGATCTACATATATTGAACTCAGCAAGATGTCATTGTCTAGCAAACTAGTTTCTCTTTTCTTCATTGAAGAAATGATTCCTTCTGCAATAAACCCTCCATTTCAGAAAGAACAAACATATCATACTTCCATTCTCTCCTCCTGTCAATTCTTCAGATTGCAGCTTTTTCATGGCTATATACGGTGAAAAAGAGTTTCCAATTCTGCAAGATCATTCCACAGTCTTTCTGTTAGTGAAACGTTACAGTTAACTACATCTTCTAAAAATCCCTTTATCATCATATATGTACTTCCTTATCGCGTTGCTTGATCAATAATTGCTCCTTTTCCTGCTCATGTCCTAAGAATGGCATCAATTTTGGGAGCTCTTGCTGCTTACCTAAATTTACCAGCGAGATCTATAACTAAATCAAGTAACTAAGTGAATCAGTTTAATCGCTAATGGCAAATATCACATGCATCCTCCTCCATTATATTTATTTATTAATATGTCAATAAAATAGAAAATAACAATTTACTAATGTACATAATCCATAAATAAAAATAATAACTCAGTTTGTTATTAATTTTTTCAATTCATTTTAATTTTATTTCAAATTCAAACTGTCCAACAAAAACTGGGGTCAGAGTCGACCTGTTTTTAGCGACTCCAGCTCCGACTCCTTTTACCCCAAAATCTGCCTGACTCTGATTTCGACTCTACAGCCCTGAGTGCCATTACTTTTGACCGTCCTCCAAGCAGAACTATTCATTCAATAGGTGAAAAAACTATTTCAGTGTTAATAACCAAGAATGAAAAGACTTCTTTTACTCATGTTTTGGATTGTGCCACCAATAGAAGTTAACTCCTTTGATAATTTTCAAAAGGAAAACAATTCAGAAAGGAAACTTCCCTAAAGGAGTTAGTATTTGAGCCAATAAAAAAGGATGGATATACAAAGAAGTGATGTTGTTTTCGCTGAGAGAAATTTATCGAGAAAGGAAAGGTGCTGTTTTCCAACCCCAAGGACTTGTTCTGGATTCAATGTGATCCCATTTAGCAGATACGGTAAGATCTGAAGAAAAACAACTTAGCATTGATGTCTCAATGATACCAGGTGGGCTCGCAAAAATTTTGCAGCCGCTGTATCTCATTATCAATAGTTTCCAAGCATGAATTATGGAAGAAGTGGGAGGAATGGATGCAAAGCGGACTCCATTCCTTCGCAAATTCCAGACGAATGAGAAAAGCTTCATATGAGGAGGCTGCCTTATGGGTTGATAAAGCATAGCTGCTAATATGATCGTATCAGCTTCCATTATCAGAAACTATCAAAAAAGAAAATGAAAGTGATTATAGTGACGTTGAAAGAAGTGATTTAGAACAGAATGATGAGACTGACCTTGATGGCCATTTGTTACATTTATTTAATTCTGATATTGATGAGTTGGATTTTGAAGGTTTTGTATAAATAAATTTAGTTTAATTTAATTAAAAAATTCTGTTTACCTAATTTACTTATTCTTTATCATAATATGGTAACTTATGGTGATAAACTATGTTTACCAAACTCGTAACATAATTGTAGATCAGTTGCACCCTTACATGGCGTCTGCCTTCCCAACTGGAAATGGAATCTTCAAGTATGAGAGCGCTTCATGTCGTAAGGCTTGAATTGTGTTGGAATGGTTAAAGAAGAATAAAGATGATTTTCAATTAATGTTCTGGCCATTAACTTGCAGGATCTGAACCCAACAGAACACATTTATAATTTCATGAAGCAGCAGCTCAGCTTAAACATTACCATGTTGGAATACCTTGGCTTTACATGACAGCTGCTTAGACATTTGTCTCTAGCCATCTACCAAGAACTTGTGGCATCCATGCCAAGGCGAGTTGCAGCTGTTTTGCAGGCCAAAGTTCATACAACATGTTACTGAATAGGTGGACATAATGTTTTGGCTCTTCAGTGTATATAAATGTGAACTGAGGGCATACAAAGTGGTTTAATGAAGCTTAATATTTATTTAAAGTATAAGCAAAATTCTTAACAAATTTCATCTCAGAATAATATATAAAATGCATTTGAAAAAAAGTGAACAGCATAAATTAGTTTGAATTGAAACCTTCTGCATTTGTTACTTGGCAAGCATCAATATGGTCATCGACCATTTGAAGAAATTTTGAAGATAGAAATGCCATCCAGTTCATAGTTGATTTTATATTTACACAAAGCAAAATGCACAGCATTTTACAATGTCATTTCACATGAATTCCTGAAAGTAACTGACATTAATAAATCATCATTTTTTTCTAATACTGGATGAGCCTACAGATGTTTCATGTTTTAAGCACCTATTTATGTTTATGTTATAACAATGAAAAATAAAACACTGGCAGAATTTTCATTAGCAATCAGAATTTCATGAGGAGAAATAAGTTCCACAGTCAGAACAGAAAAACAGATGAAAATAATTAACAATTAAAATTAAACATAAAACTATTAATTAAAAAGAATAAATCACCAACTCAAAAGAATTAGTACAACAGCATTAACAAATGAGATATGAGGAAGAGCATAACAACACATATGAAATAATTGACTTAAAAATAACAACCTAAATTAACCAAGAATTGATTAAAAGAAGAAATGGCAATTTAAACAATGGTAAATTAGCAATATATGGTTTTCAGATTTTTGTCAGAACTAATATATATAATGGAACCACCAAGAATCAAATTACACTTTTGAACTGAATTTGTGATGATGCCAGAGGTCATGAAAGCTCACATACCAATAATGTCAAAAAATATGTGATCTCTGACATAACATACTATATTTCAATTTTCTTCTGCTAATATTTCAGGCAACACTACGTTAAAAACAGTCACAAAGCTAATGGCTTCTGTTTGTTTAATAAACAAGTACTTATAGATAACTCAAATACAAAAAATTATGATGATTTTATTCAATTTTGGGAATAAAATATTAAATATAAATACTATATTAAAAACATTACAAATAAAAATTTGCAAGAACTATAACAGTGACAAACATTTTGTACATAACTGAAAGCATATGAAAAATAAAATCATACAAAAAGGATATATAAATAGTATCTATAGAAAGTCCAAAATAAGGCATTTTTAATGGCTTAATTCACAATATATGCAGTTAACTATACAAGACTACGGATACAGATCTAAAATAAGAATAATAAAAGAACAGATACTAAAAATGTCTATTTATTAGAAGCTAATACAAAAAAGACATGGGCTATATATTATTCTGGAATGTACATAAAATTACAAAAAATAATAAATATAATAATACAGTCAAAAGTCGTTAATTCGGACCTCAAAGCTACAAACTTTCTGCGCATGCGTCACGTTTACGCGTGCTCGTAAGACCCTTACGGCTGCGAATATGCATATGCAAATGCGCATAATACCTTTACGCATGCACGTTTAATGTATAACGGACAGTATAAGCTAAGCTAAAATTATCTAATTCAGTTAATGTTGCAGATTGCGTTGTTCCTTAATCTTCGAATTGGATCTGGCTTGTTATTTTTTGCAGACTGTTAGAGCAATTTTATAAAAGTAAGCTTGAACTTTCGATTATGTCAAATAGAATTTCCGATATATATTTACTAATATGTAAAGGATCTACAAAGTGAAGGTATGTTTCGAAGTCCATTAAACAAAAAGTGGAATTGCTGCAAAAAATGGATAAAGGCATATCCTTTGTTTCTTAACCATTCCGAAATCTGTTTATCAATTTCACGCTGCTCTGCGGGGGGGGGGGGGACATCGCAGCGCACAATGAACTGGAAGTTGATCTGTCAACACTACCCTTATCTTCAGGGCAGATGTTTTTATTTTATTCAGCTTATAATTCCTTACTAAATGTAGTATTTCATCTCAATATATTCCGCCTTTGATATGATTTAAATCAAATTCCCCGTCATTATAAATATCACGAGTACACATCAAATAGTTTTCTGGTTGCAATTTTCTAATTTCGACTTGTAATGTATGCTTTACGCATGAGCGCGTTGAAAGAAATGTTTAATAAAGTAAACAAATAATTATTAAGCATTTTTTTGTAAATTTTGATACCCTTTAGATCATAATTGTTCTTTATTTCATAAATTATGGTTTCATATTTTTAATTTTGTAATTTCTGCATGCCATCATACCAGATTCAAACTGATGATCTATAATCCAGAAAAATCGATAACCCGGAATCGCCGAAGCCCCAACGAGTCCGGATTAACGACTTTTGACTGCAGGAATTTCTTCGAGGTTGCCAGTTAAATTCATCTGGACAAAGACTGGATATTAAAATAAATTTTTTAAATTCACTGCAAGAGTGTGAAAAGAATAAAATTTCATTGAACTAATCTAGGATTTCTTAAAACTACAAAAATGAACCCACCTCTAAAAAAACGGAAAAAAAAGTTTTTGTTACAAAAGGAAGAACTCATCTGTTTATAAGTATAAAACAATATGAATGATATCCTTGTTGTTGGGATAGGTCATAAGACAATCAATTTTCCAGGCGATCAAAAAACAATAATTTTGTAAGGGTTTTAACCACATGCCAGGCACTTTAACAAGTTCATACTTGCTTCCCACTTTCCTATGAGATATGAGCTTTTGTTGGAGATGTTATTTTTGACTATATAACACCTTAAATTTAAAATGGACACTTTTTTACCTAAAACCCAAAGTAACAACTATTGTTGTTACTTTATCATTTTATGTAAATAATATTCCTATAAAATTTGAAGATGATTATATTAGTAGTTTCAAAACTATTAAAATGATTAAAAAAACACTTTTTTTGGGGGGGGGAAGCAAGGTGCAACTGTTTAATACTTTTCCAAAATACAAAATATTTATTAATTTTAGAAATGATTTAAAAATTAAAATCTTATTTGAAATAAATATAAATACACACACACTGCTATTATAGATACATGATACCTTCGAAAAATTTCTGCCTGCCTCCCTTTTGAGCTGCTTTAAGTAACTGCTCAGCTTCTTAAGAAATATCCTGAGCCTAGATATACACATGGATCAGTCACATCTTATCTATCTCTTCCCAAACTGTAGACGCTGCATTCAAAAATTTGATTCATAAATTATAGTACTAATAAAATGCTAAATTTTGAAAGCCTTTGCAT